ATAAATTATTACTTGCCTTTATAATAATTCAAATATAAAATACTTTTGTTACTTAAAAATATGTCTGACGATATAGGTCAGTAGTTGGTGAACGTGTTGTTTAGTCGTTTTTAAGAGATTTTTCGGCAGTGTATTAAAGAAAAGAAAATTTTTGAATCTTTTAATTGAGGCGTAGCGCAGTAAAGAATAGGTAAAGGCGTGCGCAGTGAGTATATCGTAGTGGTGGGGGCTCGCTGCGCGGCGACCTTGAGCAGCCAATTGAATTCAGTCAGACTGTAGAATCTCCAGAGATCTGTACTCGTTTACTCTACACCGGGAATTGTCACGGAAATTGAACGATTGTTACTGTAGCATTCAAACGACGAAAATTATCCTATTTAAAACTCTCGTTCGTGTTGTGTATATTTAAGGAAAATTTCGTTTAGGCCTGATCGCGTGTAGAATTGCGCAGCGGAGTCGGCATAATTCGCCGGTTTCTTGGAACGTGATTCCTCTGACGTTAATTTTAACCATTCGGGGAACGGAGCGTTTTAGGGGAGAAAGCAAATAGACGAACGGAAGGCAACAAGTATGCCGGATTTCGCGGAACTCGGTATCATTTTCGGGATCGTGACAGGTGTCGTGGGTTTTCGTCATTGCGTACACACGCGCCTTCTGTTACCAAAATACACACGCTATCGTTCTCTCACCAATTCGATCTCTTCATTCTTCTCAATTTTCTTTAACAGTCTCTCAACCCTACCATTTCCTCTGTGAAACATTCTCCACGCTAATCTTCTCCCCCTTTAATGCTCCCCCCTTTTGGTCCGTCAGACTACTCTCATTTTTCTCCCTTTATCTACAACTCTCCCTTCTCGCAGTGTTGCGTTCCCCTCTCCCTTCTCCCAGCGATTTTCTCCCGCTTTCTCCGTCTCTGTTCGACCATTCGTCACTCGTGACTCATAGCAGATGTCAGCTCGCGAGTCTACACGTTGGAAACGTACGCCTAACTACACCGGCCTCACGTAGAGGAGTTTTAGGGGCCGATGCACCCCACGGTGTGTGTGTGTGTGTGTGCGCCTCGACCGACGTTTGCTTAAACTACTTCTATTACGCGACCCTCGATGCCTGGGCCAGATAAGATTGGTTCCGCTGCTTATCACCGTTTAGCATGCTGTATTAGCGATTAATCGACGCCATGGGGCACACCGTGTCGCAGGGGTGTTTCTCGGAACGGTACAACACTTGTCCCTCCCTATGATAACGTTTGCTGTGCAGTCGATTTACGAAATACTGTAGCAAAACAATAGGAAAACCATACGAAAATAGAAGAAAGCGAGACTGTGTAGGGTTAACCCTTTCGTGACTCTTGATTACTCGAATAAAATTTAATTTTAATTTAGTATCAATTAGGGACAAAATTTTAAAAAATTGCTCACGAACGGAACCTAATTTTTCTGGAGTATTCGGAAAAGCTCTCCCTCTCTGTTATTTATTAAAAGTGAAGTTGGAAGGCTTGGAGCCGCGATATTTATACGAAACTCGAGCTTCTAATCGACTTTTTCGCGTCGGACCATTCGGCCATGGCTGTTTCGAAACCCGTCAGGAATTCTTCCGCAAAAAGCGGCTTTCATGTGCGTGCGTGCGCACGTGCACTTGCAGCGGCTCTCATGTGCGTCGCATAGGATACGGGCGAGCGTCGTCGCCATGACTCATTGGCGATACGATAGCGTCCCCCGCGTTACGTAACCGAATCGCCTGTTTGGGTTACACGGCTGGTTTTGTTCGGCCGTTTACAGCGACGACGATCACCTCCGCGTCATCCTGCCGCGAGAGCGAGAGAGAGACTCGTAAATCGCCTCCTAGAAATCCCGGATGACGTAGACCAGGCGTCGATGAACCCTTCTCTCCTCTCTCGTTCGGACCCAGTTTCTCTCTTTTTCTCAGGCCTACGCGGCTCGAATTTCCTCGAGTGGAACGAGCAGAATCGGAACAGCGTATAGTCTCTCTCTCGGTTCGATCTATGGCGACCGACGCCTTCGCGGAATCGCTATTTTTACGAGCTTGTTTTGTACCCGTTGATTGACTTAGACGGAGGTATATCCTCTTTTTTTTTTTTTTGGTCACTGGATGAAGTGATTAAGTGGGAGGTGTATAGGATGTTGGAACCCTTTTCGCTACGAAGGTCGTGTGTTTATAGTCTGTGAGAGAAATATAGCCAGGTCGTAAGATCGAGAAGCGAGGTGAGAGAAATCTGAGATAAGGGCCTCGGTCAAGGCTGCATATTTAATTTTCAGTGAGTGTCGCTGTATCAATCAGTACCGCTATACGTTCTGTAAAAATGGTCACTCCGATATATAAAATTTGTTACGTTTATTTTTGCACCTCGTGGACCTTCCAAAAGACGTGATTTTCACTGTCGACACACTGTCGACGATGGCACATGGTGCAAGGTCGTTCTGTATCGACAACGCTTCGAAGGTGGTTAAGTGTAAAAACTCTATCGTTCACCACACAGTGAGCGCTTTTCGTCTGAAATTAGCGAAAGGGTCAAACTAGATTAAACTCAGGAAATAATTAATCACCTTTATTCAAAATGCCAATCTTTATACAGCTTCCCCCAGAAAATAACAAAATATAAAAATAAACGTTTCACCCCAAAGGAACGTGAGAAAAATAACGGTACTCTCTTCTTCCCTTACAGAGGAAGCCCGGAAGGCCGGAAGCAGCGTGCTGGTGCACTGTCAGGCGGGAGTGTCGCGCAGCGCGACGATCGCGATCGCGTACATAATGCGGCACAAAGGTCTGTCCATGGTGGACGCGTACAAGCTTGTGAAGAACGCGCGGCCGATCATCAGTCCGAACCTGAACTTCATGGGACAACTATTAGAGCTCGAACAAGGCTTGAGGGCGTCTGGCGGTGTTTCGTCCGCGCCCGAGGAACCTAAAGGCTGCCATCAGTGTCGCTGGTCTCATCAGCAGAACAGCGAAGAGGTGACTTCCGGTTGCAGCGTCTGAGTCAAGCGAAATCACCTAGACGCGGACCATCAACCCAGGGTTCCTCATCTTTTCCTCTTCTACGTACGCGCGACACCGCGGTGTTTGGTTGCGTTGTCTCCAGCGAAAAGAACAAAGAAAAACGGACCAGAAGAGACGAAAAGAAGAAAGAAACAAAAGAGAGATAAATAATCGCGAAGAAGCCAACGCGCGCGGCGTTTACGCGAGGCCGTCTCGAGGAACATGTCTCGCGTCCCTGGACATGGTCGAAGGACACACACAGACTAACACACTTTACACATATCCTATACACGTATATCCGTTGAGAAACGAATCGAACTCGCGTTTGTTGGTTCTTCCTATATTTCGCGAGAAAAAAGAAGATAAGTAATTAGCGAAGAACTTCTCGGATCTACAACTTTGCTTAACACGTGCCTTGGCGATCGGCCCCAGCAAAACGGGAAAAGGCTGATTTACAGAGAGACACTTTATTTCTATTACCGGATAACTTATTCAGTGAGGAGAGAGAGAGAGAGAGAGGATGTTGATGAAGAGCGAACGAGAGCGAGAGAAAGTGTGAGAGAGAACGCGTCGTTGACCTGTGGAAACGATGGAAGTTTGCTAACTGTTGCTGCGACTGCACACGACGAGGCGTCCTCCATTTTGGAACCTCGTGGGTCCAAACTGTACGATGGCGGGTCGAGCACGTGCACGACAGACACGCGTAAAACTCGAGACAGCATTTTGTTCTTCTCTGCCTTCGCCGTTCGTCGACGACGCGGTCTACCACCGCGTTACGAATTATTTATGTGTGCAAGGAAAGAGAGAGAGAGAGAGAGAGAGAGAGAGAGAGAGGAAAAAAGAAAATTGTAAAAGAGGGACGTTCACGCGGCGTTGGTTACGGAAGCTTCGTGCAATCGCGTCGGTTCGAGGAAAGAGAGAGGGTGGTGTACTTACGCGACAGTGTTCCGTAGTTCTATTGGTACAAAATATATGTGTATAATATAATACGTTTGTAAGAAGAGAACCGTGCATTCGTCGCACGGGGAGAAATCGTCAATTTTCTTCTTGTTCTTTTCTTTTTTTTTTTTTCTTCTCTTCGTTTTTCGTTTATATTTTTTCGCGTGTAGTAGTCGGTTGCGCAGAGAGTTTATGTATATTCGATTTTTAACGACGATACACACACTTGGTGTTCCACTTTCTTGGAAAGATCTACGCGTAATGATTTAGAAAGTCGATTTTATTATTCGTTTCTCCTATTCCCTTTGATTTTATAAGTATGTTTCTTCTTTTTTTTTTTTTTAACGTGTCAAAATGTGTCAAGGATTATTCGTTGTTTCGTTTTTTTTTTTAATTTGTTCTATCGGGTGCGTTCGATGAGAAAAATTATTATTGAAGAAACTTTTACGTGGAGAAATTGTGTGTTTGTTGTATTTAGGAACACTGTTCTCTGAAATGTTACGCACGAAGAAGAATCGATTCTCAGTATAATATTTGCACTCGAGGTGTTTATTAATCGCAGAGGTTTCTCGCCGTTCGGGAGACGCGCGCGTATAAATGGACAATTAATTGGAAAAGGAGAAAAAAAACACACACACATACTGTTGGGTGAATGTACGTCAATTGAGATCAATAATAACTATGTTTGCGTTTTTTGCCTTTTTGCCTATTTGTATCTCTGTATTCGTGAATATTACAATTATTCGATAGCGAAGTGGTTTATATTTGATAAAAATAATATATCTCGTTTAGCTGGAATTTTAGCATAACCACGAGAGCTCCGTAGCATTTAAGGATCTGGTTGAGGTCCAACCATCGTGATCTAGTCGTTTGTCGGGATGTAACTGATGATGATGATGATGCTGATATGTTAAGGTGCGAAAGTTTGAAAGAGCGAGAATGAGGGAGAGAGTTCAAATGTCCCCGCCAACTAAAACAATTAGATTAATGTAAGAAAAACGTCGTCGACAACTCGAGGGATAAAAAAGAAACAAACAGATTGTGCGATTTTTTAAAAACGCCAAAAACATCGATCCGTTGTAGTTCGTATTCGATGAATTTCACATTTTCGAGCGAGGTTGTCCGATGTAGAATGACCAAATCAATTATCGTTCGTCGATCTTGAAACGTCTGACAAAGAAACGTCGGATTCAAATGATATGTTCTGTTAGAAGAAGAGTGTTCGCCATTGGTTAATACGCGAGCAACAGGTCACGTGTTGCGCAATACGGATGCGCGAGCGATACCCTAACCTTGTCGCTGTTTATCTCAGGTTATTCTTTAGATACTTTAAATAGTCAGAAAATTCCGATAAAAAAAATTGACACGTCGAGACATTGTGTAACACGTGTGACCGTATGGCGTGAAAAACGTTGTTCTTTTAATTCGACGCGTAATGGAAAATTGTTCGACATCGATGTATGACGTCAGTCGCAAAGTGAAATCGGAGAATGGGAAATTTATCGATTAAGAACTTGATCTTTGTTAACTGTAGAAGTATTAACCGGCTAATGGAAAAGCGTTTTTTCCTCGCGTGGGCACGATTCGTTCAAAACGCGTGGATACATCTAGCTTATAGATTGCTTCTATCCTCCTGAAACCGCCGACGAGCGACGATTCTCGTTTCATTTTCGAGAATCAACACGAAGCAAACGAAATATATCGATGTAACGACAAAACGGGAATAAAAAGAAGAATCGTGCGCGTGAATTCTCGCTTCGATCGTCGAAAATACCTCGAGCAACGGCCTAAAACGGACGTTGAATAATCGTAAAAAGAATAAAAGAACCACAAGTAAACGTGTGCGAAATAATCGCGTACGACACGACAATCGCCGCTGTGTAAATCAAACCGAGCAGCTGTTCAAAAAAAAGAAAAAAAAAGAAACACTAAGGAAAAAAGTCGCTTAAACCGATATGCCTTTCTATGTTTGAAAGACTCAAACTGTTGACAATAAAAGCTCGACAAGAGAAAGAGAGACCTGTTGTGCGTGAAAAATGAAACAAGTATTGGTTCACGACATTATATATGTATAAAATATCTATGTATAGCATTACGAGGCAAGAGCAAGTTCCTTCACAGATTCTCTAATTCTCTCGAGGAAACGGTACATATCAAAGAGACGTCGCCTTCTTTTCTTTACTATATTTTTGTTTTCCGTTCTTCGTTTCATGTAGATCGCGAAGGGTGTCACGTTCGAAAGGGAACAGTCTCTGTTCGCATCTCCTATAAATAGTCTCGAGCGTGTCGTGACGCTTCGTGTTTTAGAAACTTGTAAAAAGTGTAGCGAATAGTGTTGTAAATAATCGCAGAGCGAAGACACAGGCGATCACGAAGAGACTCGCGCAAGAGAGAAGAGAGACCGATCGGCGCTTTGTATAAAAAGAAAAAGAAAGAAAAAAGAATATAGATAGACACACACAAAGGAGCTCTATTCGATGGAAAGAGAGAGAGAGAGAGAGCCACACGAGCGTAGTACCTGTTGCGTCGTGAGAATGTCGATGTGTATGTAGTGTTTACTGAATTGTGGAAGAACTTTAACAATAAAATGTATGTCGACCTGCGATAAAATAGTCGTCGTTGCCGTGTAGCGATAAAAGAAAGGGAAAACAAGCGGTGTTCGGTGTGACTTCGTGACGGGACTGGTAAAAGCAGAGCCTTTAAAATCGGTAAATCACCTGTGTTAAATGTCGCGTGCAATTCGATCGCACGAAAGATGGCCGATAAGATAAATACACGGGGGCCAGCCTAAATGCTACGAGCGCCGCGCGGTCTAATATGTTCCTATTCGGGACGCTGCTTTATCCAGTTCTGCTTTACAACTAACCTCTTACGAATCCCCATTTACGGTTATGATTTATCGTAGATTGATGTATTTCCTTTGTTGCTGATGTTTTTCTGCCATCGGTATGCACATGTTAAGGTTTCCGTACACACACACACACACACACACTTGTTGGGAATGGTTAAACAGACGCACCGAGCTAATTGTTTTTTTTTTTTTTTTTTTTTTTTTTTTTTTTTTTTTTTTTTTTTGCAGAAAACGTTGCCGTACGATCGGATAGCTTTTTCTTTTTTTTTTGTAAATGTACAGTTAAATGTGTAATAACGTAAAGTTAATGTGCATACGCGAGGACAACTATTGTATCATATCAAAAATTTAGTTATTTTATGAATAAAAGTATAAATCGCACGTTTTCACGGTCGATTCTTTTTTTCATCAATCGTGACTTTTTCGTTCGTCGTACTTTCCTCCTATCCCTCTGTCGAACTGTAATTCGACAGAGGTAACACATGTACACGGGTATCGCATAAATTTTAACATGTGCAAAAATAAATACTAAGAAAAAGAAACAGTTTTTTTGTAGCGGGCAGATGTTGTAACATAAAAAGTAAAAAGTATGATTATTAAGAAAATGTTTATTTAGACAGAAAATATCGAATTTCGAATATAATAAAGTTTCCAAATTCTCATAATGGAATATCGGTTAACCTTAGACCGAGCATTCTCTTTCTACAGCAATAATACGCTTTCGAGAAGAAATCTCGAAACGATCCGGCTTCCAAAGTAAATCCAAGATGGTCACGAAACGTGTAAACACGATTGAACGTAATAAAGCAATCGTCATGGTTCTTTGTCGCCTGATTATTTTTTTTTTTTTTTTTTTTCGTTACTCGACACGTTATCTTGACGGATAAAAATATAACGATTGTGCATACGGATGAAGTACGTAAATGCAAATTCAATCTGTGACTTTCTCTCGATACTGTTTCGCTCACATGCACAATGTAACTCGCATTCTCAGTCTCCTGCTTTCTAAACATTATATAGATACGTTTCGCTGTAAGTAGAGATTAGGTTGTAATAGTAATAGTAGCAATAGTTTAGGGGTTATGCTAAGCTTCGTACTTGCTCCTCTTCGTCTTCTTGTCAAAATGCATCACCCCTGTTCGCGTTATATTTCATTCTGTTCGTGACTTGGAAATGCGAAAAGGTCTATCGGTCCTTTGAATTAAATGCATAGGTAATCGATATGGAATTGCTTGCTTTGTGCTGTTCTATTTACACGGATCGCGTCTAATTTTCTTTAGGGTCGCAATTATACGCCGTTATACTAACATTACACAAATGTAGTTTACGCGATGAAGCAGATTTTTTATAGGTAAAAAACTTACAAGGATTAACTATGTTATCGGTAGATCGATAGGGGTATAAAACGAGACAACGAGACGATACAATTCGAGTTGCAACCAACAGTGTCTCCAATCTAACTAACAGTGACATAAATTGCAGCACCTCTTTTATTCCGTTACGTTGTCATATCGCGAAAAAGATATTTGCCCGAGCTAATCGTCTCAAGATTAGAGATATCTGACCTATGCGAACGCGCAAAATAATTGATTGTTTCTTTCTGCCTATACTGCACGAAAAATTCGCGTAAATGAGAAGCTCTACGGGTGAAGCGGTTCTAATTATTATAATGGCCTGTATTTACGTATACTCGTCGATCTATTACTTGTTGCAAAAAAACGTGATACACAGAAATCGAGAGCTTGTTAATTATACTACGTAACTTACCCTGATTCTGTTGCTGCGTAAATTATTCTTTCTCTTTAAAATCGTTTCGCTATTCTCTCGGCTATTATTAACAGGTAAATTCACAATTACTTACAAACTATCGGTATATGTACGTGTATATATAGCTTTTCGCAACTGCTGATCCATGATTTCTAATATTGATCCTGGGATCAATAGACCAGATTGCCCCCGCGAATAAGGAAAATTAATTACTCGCCAGAGCTGCCATAGCGCGAATTAACGCGGCGTTCTCTTCTCGAAGCTGTTCCCGTTCTAGAGCCATTTCATGCTGCTGCTGCAACAACTGGGCCTTAAGAATCATTATTGTGTGATCTCGATTATCCAGAAGAGCTAATAGCCTCCTGTTTTCTTCCTGTGAATGAAATAGTATAGATTGTACCTATTTGGTTTGCTGTTAGATGAAACATTTTAATTAAAAAAAAAAAGAAGAATACTTCATGCGGATTCTCTCCAGTTGGCGTAGGCAATCTCGGCGTACTAGCTGCGTTCACAGATGTTGGTGGCTCATGATTTCCATGATCCGATTGAGTGACACTGTCGGATTGATTCAGGGAATCGAATTCCTCGTCATCTGCCTCCAAATCGGAGTGGCTAAAATTAAATGGGTAATTTTGATATATTAGTGAATGCACGTTGTTATACCGGTTCAGACTGCCTATGATATTGTATTAGGCACGACCCTTAACATCGTAATGTTCAATGATTTCTATGTTACTTTTTATTCTTCTATATTTTCGTTCCAATTATTCTTTGCGCTTTAGTGGTAACATGAGATATGATAAGTTAGTAATGAGAATAGTGAGATACTAACGCAATTCTTATTGTTTCTATATCGTTATAAAAAGGTGTACAAAGGACTTACGGTACTCGTTACAATACGCAGGCTCGTATTTAAAAGAATCTACTAGCTCTACCGTACTTCGTACAGGTCGTGCCTAATTGTACATTGTCACGTACAGTAGCACTTACCAACTGTGCCTATTTATACATGACCTGTAGGAAGTACGGTAATGCCTAAAAAGCAGTAGCAGTTTATTACAAATAACTACAAAATTTCACTAAAGCACTATATATAGATTACTACCGTAATAAGATATCTCAGTGTTTTATACCTTTTGTTTCGCCTTTGTGTAAACATTTTTGCTGTCCGTTCCTGAAACATGCGTAGTTTGACATACATACATAGATCACTGTCACATACGTTTCAACTTTTTCACAGCGTTCGCGGTAGTATTTTATGGAATATGTATTTAAGAGAAAGGTAAAAATCACACGAACTTACTTCGATGAGTTCATGATCAAGGAACTCATTGTGATGTGTGTTGTGTTTAGTTTCAAGATCTTCCTCATCTTCTCCTGTACTACCTCCTGTACTCTGTAGAATTAAGTGGCTAACGAAATTACATTGCGGAGTAACAACGGGTTTGCACACAAAACTTTTACCAATATCCGTTAACACTCGCGGCGAAACGCGATTATCACGGAGCGCGTTTCTCTACGTGCAATACTACAAATGTTATACATTCCGTGTGTGTCTAACATATGATTCTCTAGAAAGATACATTCCCGCAAGACATTTTCGATACTGATCGAAAATACTAGAATATATATATATATATGCTGTCGAAAAAAAGAAACGAAGAATCCTTCAGAAAAGAACTGAAAGTATTCATCTCAAATTATCAATTAAAAAACATTGGTCAAGTATTTTCTGTAACGAATATAAGTAAAAAAATTGCTAAACTTATCATGCAGGATACAGAAATGGCTAAAAAGAAGTTTGTAATCAAAGAAGCACAGATGCAAGAGATAATCCTCGTTTTGGAATCCGGGAAACTGCCGCGAGGAGTCAATAAGATTTTGGGGCCTTAACGTGACTGGAAACAGTGACAAACCTCCGTCGATTGCAAATGTACTACTCCTGTACTTCGTCGCTTTTCTCGAAGTTTCCGTCGATCACGCTGCTGCTTTCCCTTGTTTATGTGCGTTGGCCTGTGCAAACAGGATACGACACTAAAGAAGACACTAGAACCAGATCCAGAACGTGTTAACAAGTCGCGCAAATTCTATATGCTGGATCTACTTCGTAGTACATTGAAGATACTTGCGTTCAACAAAAAAAACTCAACTCCGCGGATACCTTATTTAAACGTCGACGGATCGCTTACTTACCGGCCAGTCACCCGTTTGTCCTGTTTTCTCATTATCGGTTTGTTCTGCTGATTCTCATGATCAGGTGGAAGCACACTGTTTGAGCTTGTGTCGCATACACCTTGAGATTCTTCTGCGTTCTGTGCATTCTCTATAAATGAAACCAATTAAATATAACACTTTATATACCATTGTACAATGAAATAACAATGCAACAGCTGCATTACTTTGATAATTTATGGAAGAGGAATCTCCTGCCCTGGGTGGAACAACTCTTGCTCTGGCTGTTCTGATCCTAGACCTTCTGGAAGTCAGCTCAAAGTCATTGTCAAAATCCTCCTGGCTGACGGAGCTGGACGCCATGCCGGTTATATCGCTGCGAGAACGAAACGGCAAAATGAATTCCATTTTGAAAGAAAAGTAACGAGAAAATTATAAAATTGTGCGCAAAAAAAAAAATAAAAAATGGGCTCTTACAAAGAATACCTGGACATCTGAACAAAGGAGTAGGTGTTGGTGTGCGATACCTGTGTTGGACCAGCGCAAAACTTGGAGGCCAAAAAGCGAGTGCTTGATTGGGTTTTGTCTAAGGGAAAGTCACAAGGCATGAACCGCTTTTAACTACGATGCAAGTGCGTGCCCAATAAGATAACAATGTAGACAGAAAAGAAATGGCAATTCTTAAGGTATTAGTCACCTGTCGAGGTGAGTGGTCTTCACCTAGTTCCACTGCCAATGCCGTGACTCACTACCAACCTATGTGCGATTGACAGCTGTCAACCATTGAAGCATCCATAAACACGTATGACCTGTCCGATTACATAGTTCAAAGATAGATGAGTATATCGATCGTCCGTGTACCTTGGTTTAAGCGCAATTTACAATGCGTCATTTTGATATTACCAGGCCACTGTACGCAACAACATGAAAAGTCACTAGACACGAGCGCGTAAAAGTCTCTATAATGGCTATGGCGTTCAAGAATCTAGCGAGAATAGCATTCAGGGATAAAAATAAAAATAGTACATATGGTCCGGCAAGGCAAACTTGAGGCTTCTGACGTCATCGCCTGACCAAATAAACGGAAAACAGTCGGTCAGGCCATTCGCACTATTTTTCGGTTTGGTACTGTCGCCACTTGAGGAGAAGCCGCCTTGTAGGTAAATGGTTCAGACAAATGATTTCCAAGCAGCTGTCGATAATGTAGCACATTGATAAAAAACCGGAAATTAGAAATTACTTAATCGTCTTATAGCGCGTCCTTAACCATATTCCGATTCAGTTTATTTAATTTCTTAATGGAATATTATTTAAAGAATGAGTGTTTCGCAGAAGGAAATGGATGTGGTATGTAAGGGAGAAATAAATAGACTATAAAATGCTGTAACACAATGCTGGTATATTGTAACCTTCTGTAAACTACACTTTGCACAGTTTTCTTGCAATAAATCATTAATTTTTTGATAAATAATTGTATTTCTTCATTTTTCCTGATATTGAAGCCTTTCCTTCATTCCTGTGGTAGCCTGCAACCCTCCATTATTAATTTAACCAAATCTAAATTGTAATTTAACAAAAAACACTAATTATTCGAAACTTTAATAAATCGTTAACTGGTATTCTTTTCGAATGCACATTGTGGCAAACGGGTTATCGAGTTTGCAACATTGTTGCCGCGAATCGTTCCCGAAAATTGCACATTGTTGCAAAACGCATTACCTGGTTTGCAACTTTGTTGTCGCGAAAATTGCACATTGTTGCACGACGCGCCGCTTTGCAACTTTGTGCTTTTGCGGGGAGCGGGTCCCGGCACCAAAGCTGCAAGCGCGATACTCTCTTTTACAACTTTGTTGCCGAGAGTCTCTCCCGAAAATTGCACATTGTTGCACGACGCGCCGCTTTGCAACTTTGTGCTTTTGCGGGGAGCGGGTCCCGGCACCAAAGCTGCAAGCGCGATACTCTCTTTTACAACTTTGTTGCCGAGAGTCTCTCCCGAAAATTGCACATTGTTGCACGACGCGCCGCTTTGCAACTTTGTGCTTTTGCGGGGAGCGGGTCCCGGCACCAAAGCTGCAAGCGCGATACTCTCTTTTACAACTTTGTTGCCGAGAGTCTCTCCCGAAAATTGCACATTGTTGCACGACGCGCCGCTTTGCAACTTTGTGCTTTTGCGGGGAGCGGGTCCCGGCACCAAAGCTGCAAGCGCGATACTCTCTTTTACAACTTTGTTGCCGAGAGTCTCTCCCGAAAATTGCACATTGTTGCACGACGCGCCGCTTTGCAACTTTGTGCTTTTGCGGGGAGCGGGTCCCGGCACCAAAGCTGCAAGCGCGATACTCTCTTTTACAACTTTGTTGCCGAGAGTCTCTCCCGAAAATTGCACATTGTTGCACGACGCGCCGCTTTGCAACTTTGTGCTTTTGCGGGGAGCGGGTCCCGGCACCAAAGCTGCAAGCGCGATACTCTCTTTTACAACTTTGTTGCCGAGAGTCTCTCCCGAAAATTGCACATTGTTGCAAAACGCGTTATCCGGATCATTTCATAATGAATTTCATTAAAAATATAAAAAAAATAAAAAGACAAGATTTTAGAAATGACATCAAACTTTATCTCGCAGAAAAAAAACAAGTTACGAAAGAACAAGTGAGGGGCATGGTAAAACAGAGATCTTAGTAGGTGTATGTCGTTTATTTATTTAATCGATCTGATCGCAGATATAGTTTCTTCATTCATTATACTTCATCTTCCATAAGTTAATTACAAGTATTCATCGTCGTCTATAATCTAAAAGGGTATAGGGGGTAAAGTTATAGGTAATTTTTTTTTTTGTTCACAGTATTGACTCTATTACATACGCTAATCAGATGGCTAAAGTGTTCGTATCTACAAATATATCTTATATTTGTTTTTTTTCTCTATATACATATACATATATACACATATATATAGAATCCGTATATGTGCATATCTATATATACATATATTTCGTAACGCATATCCTCGCAATTTCTCTTCTAATAATCTCTCATTCTTTCCCCTTTTTTTTGTCGTTTGCTCGTCAACAGGTAACGGTTAAGCTTCCGCTTCTTGTACGGGAGGACATCGATTCTCTCTCTTACGCTTCAGTGTTTTTTTTCTTCATTTTTTTTTTTTTGGTTTTCCTTTTCTTAATGTTTCTTTCCTTCGGCTCTTGTAACTCGAACTCTAAAGGTGTGTATATGTATGTGTATACGCTTTTTATCTGGGTATGTATGTATGTATGTATGTATGCATTATGTGTGAGGAGAAAAACTATAAGTGGTGTCGCCACGAGCGAGGGTAGATCTCGATCTTTTTTTTTTATTTGTAGAGGGCTAGACTCGGTGTTTTTCTTTTTTTTTTTTTTTTTTTTTTTTTTTTTTTTTTTTTTAGTTTGTTTTGTTTTGTTTAAACGAGATATTAAGGTTTAAAAGTACATACGTATGTATATAAGTATCTGACGCTTGATTTGACACATATGATTGAGGTCTCGAGCAAGTTTCTCTGCTGCTTAGCTCGCATCTCACAGCCTAGAGGTGATTTAAACCAGACGCGGGGCCCGTTCACAACGGACCGCATCGCTACAAACGACACATGATAAATCCCCGACAAATGCCAAGCTCGCAGGTGTATACATATTTCTATATATATTTGTTTTCCTTTTTTCCAGCTCCACTACCTTTTTACTTTTGTCCATTCTCTTCTCTTACGCTTACGTAACGTGTATATGTCCATATGGTCAATTGTGCATTTTCAAGTAATTATACGACATAGTAAAATATTAAAGCGGCAGCAGAATACACTGCAATACTGTTTGACCTATGAAAAAGATGTTTCTCTTCTTTCTTCTTGTTTGCTTCTTTGAACCCTTTCAATCGCCATTTTTCCTTTGTCTACCGCGTTTCTTCATTTCCTCCTCTTCCCCCACCTTAAAGTCTATCTATTTATGTACAACACGTTTAGCATTTTTTTATCTGGAACAACTTTTTCTCTCTCTTTCACCTATTATATTTCTCTCTTCTCGCCACCGTTCTCCATTTGTATTATTCTCCTTTAAGCCTCCGCTCTCGTCTCCTACCGATAAACTTTTCTCATAGTCAACATGTCTCGTATAAACTATGCAGTGCCGATGCCTATCAGATAGGCAAGTACACATAAAATATATGGTAATCGACAAGTGAGTAACGCATTAAAATTAGAAAGTACATGTCGCAACATCGTGGACGATAGATAGAGACAGAGGAAGCATCTCGCGAACCCTGGCGTTTTTTTCTTCGTAATCTGACCTCAGGATCGTCTGTCTCGTTTCCCCCACCCCCCCTCCACCTTTCCTTCGTCGCCGTTCTAAAAACATTCGAGCCAAGAAACGTGTATCATTCATCTCAGACGTTTTCATCTTCTCGAGCGTTTCTCTCTCTCTCTCCTCGCTCTTTTTCAACGCGTGCTGGCGATGAGGTAGATAAAGAGACGTCGCGACAGCTTTCGTTCACTTTTCAACGCGACGTTCTCTCTCGAATAAATGCATCCGAATTTGATTCTTCGATTTTAGCAGAATTTCTCCTTCCGTTATTTTCTATTAAGTTCCTTTTTGTTGCACAGACCTTTCTATGTTTTTGTCCGACTACAGGGTGTTTCAAAAAAATCGATAACAGATTCAGTGACCGTCGGTCCGTTGACGAAAGTACTTCGGTGCAATAATCGATCGGTGAAATTAAGTATGTTGCTCGTTAAGTACCAGAAGAATCTACAAGCTACTGTCTTCTTGAAACACCCTATATATCGGCGCAACGAACGAAGAAATGAACCATGCGTATACATGATTCCCATGCACGAGCGTGTCCCGGCCGATCGACTACAGCGACCTCACGAAGGTTCGTCGAGTGCTCGACTCTCTTTCCTGTTTCGATAAACTTCATCCGTAACCCCGATCCGTTTCGCGGGCTTCGATTAAGTAGACACAGTGTATATGTCAACGAGCACAATAAAAGTTGCTCGTCCTACGTGATTATTTCTTTCTCTCATTATTTTTGTTTGTTTTTTTTTTCTCTTTTTTGTGTTTTAAAAGACATTTGTT